TACAAAATTCAAAAATCATTCATGAACATAAATCGAATAGAATGAAAACAAACTATAAATGTAATCCAAACCCATTTTTTCTATCACTTTAAATTTTGCTCAAAGAAAACAAAAATTTGAAATTATAAGTTATCGTTGTCTGTCAACCTTTCATTTTTCAAAGCCAAAATAATTGAAGTTGATCTGTCGAAGGTGATGCCGAAATTGTGTGTCAAATGAGATCGACTGTGACATAATGACAATCACTTTCCAGTAGTGTTTGAGCAAATTGGAAGCAGAAAACGTAAGTTTAAGGTTCCAATTGGTTGAAAATTTGATTGAAAATGTGGTAATTTATGAAATCGTTTTTTTTTTTTTTGTTGACAATAGATAATTTTTTTAGATTGTCTAACAGGTAATTTATTTTATTTTCAAACGTTTCATATAGCTCAACGGGTTAGAACTTGCATATTTATATTGGAAGTCTTGATTTTGAATTACTTCTCAACTAATTTATTGTGAAATATTTTTAGTTCTACAATTTTTACCAAAATTAATGCTATAGGGAAGGGATTCAAACATGTGACCTCTCCTTAGGATTATTGAAAGCTTAACCACTATGACACTTGTTGAATTTTGACACTAAATTTACCAGAATAATATATGTTACACTTACATTTTAGCGGTTTTAATGCAATTGTAAAAATTCGAACCCGTGCTACTCCTTTGAATTATACAAAATTTGGTCACAATATCATTTGGTGAATATTGCTAATTTGTACAATAGAATTTTGTTTGAACAAAATAATTGTTATAATTTTAGACCTTGTTCGATTTTTCCCTTTTTCAAAATACATTTTTATCTCTTCTTTTCAACCACACATTTTTCAATAGAATAATATTACATGCAAATTAAAAACTTTTTCTTATTTTTAACCACACATTCTCCATTAAATCACTATTTTAAAATGCATTTTTTTGCAAAAAAATGGACATCAAACGAGGCTCTTATTGCTGCCAAAGGTCGAAGGTCAACAATCGCTCGTGCCGATTCAAAATCTTGGATCCGTTACTGCCAAAAGCCAACCATGTTTTTGACCATGGAATTGGTATCCATACACTGGTTGGAATTAGAGAGGGCGTGAATGAGCGGTGAAACTCAATTCAGCAGAATTATTGTATGGCCATTTACATGTGATTTTCCTTTTATAGAGGCTCTTGTTGGCTGACAAAAATTGCTTAAATTTATAGAAAGTTTGGTAGAGGATCCTGCTCCTCCAGCAAGTTAAATTTTTAAAAGAAAATAGAGTCATCTTATACCTAAAATCTCCAGGTTATGGTATTCTATATTTGCACGATTTTGAAAACCACACATTTATGCAAAGTTAGCACTCGACGAAGTAAGACGTTCCAAAAGTGCAATAAAAAATGTTACTTGAACGTTAATATTTTGGAACGTCTTACTTCAACAAGTGCTAACTTGTGCTACGGTTGACCGTTTCGTATGTCACTTTGATATAATATTAAAAATGT